ATTTTTATAAGAAATATTATTTATAAAAATAATAAATATAAATTGTATTTTTTCTGTTTTTTATATACTTATAGGTATTACCATTATCTCTTCTATTTACTGGAATGATTGCAACTAACAACTTATGTTTAAAATATGTTGGTGTTGCATTTTATTACATAGGACGATCATTAACAACAGTGTTTAATGTTATTTTCACATACCTTATACTTGGTAAGAAGCTCTTCAAAAAATCAGAAAAATGAGATAAATATAGCAGATTATTATAACTTCACAGGTCAAAAAACTTCTACAAACTGTATTGCATGCTGTGCATTTATTGTGATTGGATTTTGGCTTGGTGTGGATCAAGAACATGTTGCAGGTTCTTTGTCTATTCTAGGAACAATTTTTGGTGTACTAGGATCATTAACACTTTCTTTATATTCTATTCATATGAAACAAGTTCTTCCTACATTAAACCAAGATATTTGGTTACTCTCTTATTATAATAATGCATATGGTATTATTATATTTCTTCCACTAATGGTGGCTAATGGAGAACATATTACAGTATACAATTATGATAAAATTGGATCTTTATATTTTTGGTCTGCTATGATCATTGGTGGTATTTGTGGGTTTGCTATTGGCTATGCTACAGCACTCCAAATAAAAGTAACATCTCCTTTAACACATAATATTAGTGGAACTGCTAAAGCTTGTGTACAAACAGTTCTAGCAACTTATTGGTACAGTGAAGAGAAGTCATTCATGTGGTGGTTAAGTAACTGTGTTGTGCTTGGTGCCAGCGCAGTGTACGCTAGATTAAGACAACTTGATCTAAGTAAAGAATATAAAGAATCTAGAGAAGAAAAACAGCTGTTGAAAGTGTGACAAGATGCGAATGAAATGAATATAAAACTAAAATATACCATACAATTAATTTAGACACTTTTTATTTAGAAGAAAATGTACATTTTAAAGCAATAGTCAGAGTTGATATGAATAGCTTGTATAGTATAAATTAAACTTTATTAAACAAATTCTGCACAAAAATAGTTAAGAAGTAAAAATGAACTATTTTTACAAAATAGTATAAATTATTTGTTCCTTTTGTAAGTTTTTTTAATCATTAAAGTTTTAAGAATTTATTAAAATCTTAATTTTATTATTACTTGAATAAGTATAGAAATTATATAAATACATTTAATTTAAAAAAATAATAAAAATAAATTTTTAAAATCTTGATGCAAGGCCACCTCCACGACTATCAGAATGACTTGACATTAGATCTTTCCTCTTTATAATTGTATTCACACTTTTTAATACCAAGTCTGTATCCACATGTGGTGCTGGTACTATTAAATTTAATTGATTTTGTATTAATGTATCTACAGAATGTTTTTGATCATTTTCTATAGCAAGTCCATCTGATAAGAAATAATATCTAGAGAAAAGAAGATCTCATTTAAGAAATAATATTCTTATAAGTATTGAAATAAAATATATTTTTTACCTTGGATATTCAATGGCTTCAGAAACGTTTAATTGTCGCACTATAATACTGTATAGTAATTGCCCAGTGATTAATATATCATCAGTTCCAAATACGCCTCGTAATCCACATAATGACCTTTCATTATGAAAAATTATTGGAATGAGCATAGACAAAGTATTATTGGTATCAATTTTATCTAACAGGAAACCTGCATTTGACAATTGACCAAATGGTGCACTAAGTCCACTATAAAAATTATAAATTTGAATTATTTAATTTATTCAGTAGAATATATGAAAACATTATAATACTAACGTTATAATACAAACATAAGTATCTTCCCAATCCATTGCCATAACTCCAGTATACTTCTCTTCTTCAACTAAAATCGTGAAGAAAGTACTGTTACAAAATATATTTATATTTTAAAGTAAAAATAGTAATATACGACAAACCATGTTGTTTTAACTGTAATGGAATATAAACTGTATTAATCAATGCTTTAGCTACATGAATTTGTGTCCCTATTGTAGATGCATTTTCAGTAGATATTTTAAGATTTTCTAGTGTTGTAATCACTAATTCTAATAGTGACATATGGGGAGGATAATATACCACATGCTTATAAAAATTCCTTTTTTTTGCTGTATATACATTAGGTTCATAATTTGCTAACTCTGTAAGCAATTTTGAAAGTTTAACTTTATCATGCAGAAGTTTCTGTGAAAAAGTTCCATTGTATAATACTAAAAATAAAACAAATTAATGATTGAATTGAAAAATATTAATACGCAAAATTTTAATTTAATTATAAATAATTGAAGATTGTATACCATTAGTGCCATATAGTGCTACAGCATTTAACATATCACCAAGATCATGTAACTTTAATATATCCCCTGCACTAAGATGTCCATATAAAATTTCATAATCAATATTTTTTGATACTTCACTTGCTAATTCCTTTGATACAACAAATCCATCTTTGGCTAAAGATACAGAAGGTTTAACAATTTCACTCCATGGTAATTTACCTCTCAAGGTATGTGTATATTCTAATCCCCGTAATATTGCTGGTACACGTATACCACTTTGTGCAAAATTGTCTAACACACAATTCATATAAATAATATAAAATTTTTAATTATATTTTCAGTTGCACTTATATATTTTAGATCTGTTGTTCAAATATGTACCTTTAATTGTATTATTGGCAAAATCAATGATAATTGGATCTGTTTGTTCCTTGTGATTATATAACATGACATAACCACCCCTAAAAAGTAACTACAAATTAAAATAAATATTGATGACATTATATATATAACTTACCCTCCCAGACTAGTTTTATGTGGAGCTACTACTGTCATACAGATAGTAGCTGCTACAGCTGCATCTATAGCATTACCACCTTTCCGTAATATTTTAGTTCCAATTTGTGAACAGTTTGTATAATCTGTTGCAACTGCACCATGAGTGCCAGCTTTATCCTAGTGCAAAGTAATATTGTAAATAACATTCCTTATGTAATGCTTTTTTTATATTAGTTCAAGTACCTGTGGAGTTCCATCGGTATACAGTATTTGTAAAATTAATGTTGTTGTGATAGAAATGGTCAAGATAGTAAAACAAGTTATGATGAATTTTAAACCATCTCCACAATACATACTTAATGTATGTTTATAACTTCTATTCTTTGTTAAAGGACATTCTTCTGTAGGACCTTTTAAAATTAAAGTGATGGGGTATCTTATAATGTGTTTTGTATAATAAAAAAGACAATAAGATATTCTCATAAATTTTGTTTATATTATAATTTTTTTTATACATAAAATCTTAGGAAAGTGTTTTATTTAATTAAATTACTCTAAGAAATAATAACAGATATAGGTTAAAATAACGAGTTGCTAAGTATAACAAACAGAAAATATTAATTCTTTGTTTAGTATTAAAGCGTGTACATATAAAAAAAATTATAATCGAAATAAACATTTATTGTATTTTATATATTTGTGAAAAAGAATTGTATACAATTTATGAATATTAATTAATTGTAAGTAAATATTAACTATAACAAGGTTATGGTGAAATAATTCGAATGTTTACAACATAAAAGAATCAAGTATAATAGTACTTACGAGAATTGTTATAGTGCATTGTGAATACATGAATTAATTTGAATAGGAAGAATTAAATATTAGCAATATTGTTTAATAGTCTGGAAGCAGTGTATATTATGCTCTTATAACTGTAAATTTGACCTGCTGTTTGTGTATTATAATACTAGTGAAACATTGTCCAAATATATTAAATGAAATTCTATGTATTTTTTAACTATGTACAATAGAAAATAATTATGGAAATGTCTTTTTATTAGAAAAATGCCTATCAGAAATAAATGTTATTATGGGCTTAACAAAAATAATAAATGAGAATTGACATTTTGTACATGCAGTAAGATTTAAAAACAAATTAAAATGTCAATCGATATATTAGAAATGTTAAAAGAACCAAGATTGGTAAAAGTATGTGCACCAATGGTTAGATACAGCAAGTATGTAATATTAAAAATTGTTATACTTCTAATATTTATTAGATATATAGTAGCAAAGTAAATCATTTTTGAACAGATTGCAGTTCAGAACTCTAGTAAGACAATACGATTGTGATATATGCTTCACACCTATGATCTTAGCTGATTCATTTGTACAATCTGCAAAAGCCAGAGATAATGAATTTTCATCTAATGAAGGGGATGAACCATTAATTGTTCAATTTGCTGCAAAAAATGTACATGATTTTCTCAATGCAGCAGAGATGGTTGCTCCGTAAGTATTTATTTAAATGATAAATTAAAATTTTGATAAGTAACATAGATTTTAATATCTAATAAATTATTGTTATTTGTAGATATTGCAATGGAGTGGATCTTAATTGCGGTTGTCCTCAACGCTGGGCATTAAAAGAAGGATATGGGGCTGATTTGCTTAAGAAACCAGATCTTGTAAAAGATTTAATATATCAAGTGAGAAATCGTATTTCAAATCCTTTCACTGTATCTGTGAAAATACGATTACTGAAAGATATTTATAAAACTATTGAGTTTTGTAGAATTCTTGAAAAAGCAGGAGTTTCATTCCTTACTGTTCATGCTAGAACTCCTGACATGAGAAATGAACCAATAGATCTAGATAGTTTAAAATTAGTAAGAGACAGTGTAAAATTACCTCTTATTGCTAATGGAGATGTAAAAAACTTAGAAAGTGCAGAAAAGTTATACAGAGAAAGTAATTGTGAAGGAGTAATGTCTGCAAAAGGTATCCTAACGAATCCAGGTCTTTTCTCTGGACATTCAGTTACACCCCTTAATTGTGTACAAGATTGGCTTGATATTACATCAACTATACCAACACAGTTTATATGTTTTCATCATCACCTTGTATTTATGTTAGAAAAAATACTTCCCAAAAAGAGTAGAATGTTTTTTAATAATTTACAAAATAAAACAACTGTACTAGAATTTTTGAAAGATACTTATGGTATAAAACCCAATATCAATCCCAAATTACTTGAACTTACTAAATGCATCTTTAACATTCCAAATACAAAATATAATATGTGTACTGTGAAGGATGATGATGATTTAAATATCAATTTTTTGGGAAATATATTTGCAGAATCATAACTTTATTTATTCATCTTTAGATGTAATAGAACGACAAATATATTCGTATATACCGTTAAAATATTGATGAATGTTTTGTATGTGCATATTTTTTTACATATAAATAAATCAGTGATGTAACTGTGAAGAAAAATAAATAATACTATCGAAAAGTTAGTATTAAGAAGAATTCATAAATATTATATTTAATGTATTTATAAATAATTTAGTTCGAAAGTCTACTACTAAAATATTTAACAATTGAAATTTAATCGCAACAAAGCGATATTAGTTTTCAAATACGGACGCTAGGTGCGCTGTAATATGAGAATAATAAACTGTATTACTTTTATAACCGCGAAACTTCTAAAACCTGTTACTAATTATTAAACAATAAAGCTAAAATTGAATCCAATGGATAAACTGTAAATAACAGTATTCAGTGTTTTACTATAACGAAATGAAGTATTATGACTCGGGATCATATAACAACTGGAGTTTAATTCAAAATGGTAATCTATACAATTTGCAAAAAATTTATATTATCTAAACCAGTTTAGTTTCTATTAAAAAATTACATGTAATTTAATTATACAATTACGACAACTGTCTTGGTAATGTAATCTTGATACTATTTTGTTTTAATTTTTGAAACTATTTACATATTTATTATCATTACTATTATTATTGTTATAATTAGATTTAATGTTATTATGCGAAAAATTTTAATTATGATTTTATTATTATATGTAAGATTCGATCTTTGGCACCTAGTCAAAGAGGTAAGAGGCCACTGCTTTGTGATGTATCCAATAATATGACATTGTCTCCAATTGTACCACAAGTACACCAAACAAAGAAAAAAGTTTGCCGTAGTGTCAAAAATGTACAAATAGCAGAATATAAAGCAGTTACCCTTTCAGCTAATGATGTACAAGCTACCCAAGAAGTAATTTCTGAACATGTAGGTATTCTGATATATCAGGAAATAATTATTTACTTTGTAACCTATGTAAAAGTTGTAATGATATAATATTAAAGAAATAGAATGTGTTTGTGCTTATAGGAAGAAAAGGTAAAAAAACTCCTTAGTAAACCATTTAAAATACCAATACCTGGTTATCAACTATCAGGTCGTGCTTTGGGAATACGTTTGTCTGGTCCACGTAGACCTTTACATGATCCTGATGAAGCTAATGCACTCATTGTTTATTCACCCCCTGAATTATCTGAACATGATAAACTGAAGTTAGATCTGTATGTATGAAACATCTTGTCTAAAATCACCTTAAATTTTTCATAATACTGCATTTATATTTCAGGTCTAAACAACTTGTGCATGTAGTAGTAGATCCCATGTTATGTAATATTTTAAGACCTCACCAACGAGAAGGTGTAAAGTTTATGTATGAATGTGTAACTGGAAAACGTACAGAAAATGCCTATGGATGTATAATGGCAGATGAAATGGGTCTTGGAAAAACTTTACAATGTATAACTCTTTTGTGGACTTTGTTAAAACAAGGTAAATCAGTATTATTTTATATATAATTTACAATATTAAATTAATTAATAATTATATTTT